TTGCATGAAATGACAAACGCGCTGATTCAAAGACGTCTGAAATAGAAACACACACACACACATGCACACGCACGCACACACACCCTCGTGCACGCGCAGTTGGTACCTTAAGGTCAGCGCAGAGCCCGGGTCTCTAATCAGAGATGAGAAAGATGTCCACATCACAAAAAATCACGGCTTCTCAAAATAGTCCTTCCCTTTCATCTCTGCTCTCTCTGACGGCTTCCCTCCCTCTCACCCAGAGCGAGGCCCGGCGTCGGCGTGACGAAACACACTTGTCATTTCTTGTGACAATAACTGCACACACACACACACACACACACATATCTATACACTACACACAGCAAGACCAGTTTTTTTTTTCTTTTCTTGCTTCCATCCAAATTGAATCTAACTCTGTGATGTGATGAGTCCTGATTGGTGTAAGCTGGGTCACTTTGATCTATCTATAACCGTCACATTAAGCTCTCCACAACATTCAGGCGTTTGAACCTGTCAGGCTCAACCCAAATTACCAAATGACATTTTTCTCACTCTTTCCTTTTTTTCCCCCCCCCTCTCCCCTCTCCGCTCCAAAACGTCCATTTAGATCTATTTACGCAGCAGCAGTGGCTAATTTTTACCCCCTTTTTCTATTCATCTGCCTCAAGCTACACATTATATGGCTTGAAATTGATGCGCGTCGCTCTTGGAACGCGAAGGATACGGCTCTTAATTCTCGCTTCCTGCCGTAGCATTGTATGTGCCGCGTGTTTACAGAGGCCCCGACGAGCCTGCGCTGTGTTAGGAAAGTGTTTGTGTGCGTCGGCATGCTCAGACAGGAGCTGCTTCGCTCCGGCTCGTTTACATTCCTGAGGCAAACAGCAGAAAAGTATTTGTTTCTCTCGTCTCTTTCTCTTAATCTCTGCCAGTTTTTCCCCCCTCCTCCGCGTTGCTTCTGCTCGAATTATTCTGAATATCTAACGATCGCAGGCCGCGCTCGGCTCGGCTCGGCGCGGCGGTGACGCACGCGTAAAGCGGTGGATGAACACGGCGCGCGTAAACATGTGAACACGCAGGTGATCCAGGTGGGTCGAGGAGCAAGCCGAGCAGAAGGGAGCGGTGGAGCCTTCAGCTGGGTACAAAGGCCCACAGACAGACAGACAGACGGACAGAGACACGGGCATAAACACGGTGACAGATATTGCTGATAGAGAGAGGGCAAAATACAAAGTGCGCAACAGATAAAGCCAAGTGTTCCGCGCTTGTATGTATTTATCAGCATCTCGCCTGCTTTATCAGTTTATGTGCCCAACAATCAGGTAGTCAGCAGAACTGGCGGCCTGCTCGTATTGTTCCGCTCAAGGTTAGGCCGGGGTTCGGTCTTGCGTAAAGGTGCTGCATGTGGAGGTTTTAAGGCGTCGTATCATTTTACGTCGCGGTCACATTTATCGTGGTGCCATGTTATGAGCCCTTCAGGTCCTTTTCTGTTCTAAAATATGTCCCCAATCCTTTCCCGTTTACAATGTGGTACCCTATATTTACGTTTTATTTGAATGCATGCATGCACAGTGTAAAGTTTGGCACTAGTATATAGTTTAATGCTTTCTGTCAATACCACAGTGCGATGTGTCACATTTGGCAGATGTCATGTTTTGCTCATTTAACTGTCAAGTGTTTGTTATAGGTAGTGAATGAGGGTGTAGTAGTTCATTAAACATGTCACAACCCAGCTCTCTGAGGCAAGTAATCAAGAACATCCAGATAGACTTTGGTTAACGACAGTTGACAGTTAAAAAAAAGAAAAAAAAGAATATAAACACACATACACACAGATCACAATAAAGGTAGGAACTAAGGGTGACGGATGCTGCTCAGATACAAGAAAATAATATAACAGAGGATTCTACCAGAAGTTCTAACCAAAGCTCCAAAACCAAATCCTGACTTATCTTTCCTGTTCTTACCAAAACAAAAGTACAAGAGGCCAATCCTGGTCCTCGAGGGCCACAGTCCAGCATGTTTTAGATGTTTCCTTCTTCCAGCACACCTGATTC